TGCTGCTTTGCTGCTGCTGCTTTGCTGCTGCTGCTTTGCTGCTGCTTCTTCTGCTGCTGCTGCTGCTTGGTAGCTGCTGCTGCAGCAGCTGCTGCTGCTGCTTGGTAGCTGCTTTTGCTTGGTAGCTGCTGCTGCTGCTGCTGCTGCTGCTGCTGCTTGGTAGCTGCTTGGTAGCTGCTTGGTAGCTGCTGCTGCTGCTGCCTTTGCTGCTTTGCTGCTGCCTTTGCTGCTTTGCTGCTGCTGCTGCTTTGCTGCTGCTGCTTTGCTGCTGCCTTTGCTGCTTTGCTGCTGCCTTTGCTGCTTTGCTGCTGCTGCTTTGCTGCTGCTTTGCTGCTGCTTTGCTGCTGCTGCTTCTGCTGCTTGGTAGCTGCTGCTGCTTGGTAGCTGCTGCTGCTGCTGCTGCTTGGTAGCTGCTGCTGCTGCTTGGTAGCTGCTGCTGCTGCTTGGTAGCTGCTGCTGCTGCTTGGTAGCTGCTGCTGCTGCTGCTGCTTGGTAGCTGCTGCTGCTGCCGCTGCTTGGTAGCTGCTGCTTGGTATCTGCTGCTGCTGCAGCTGCTGCTGCAGCTGCTGCTTGGTAGCTGCTGCTGCTGCTGCTGCTTGGTAGCTGCTGCTGCTGCTGCTGCTGCTTGGTAGCTGCTGCTGCTGCTGCTTGGTAGCTGCTGCTGCTTGGTAGCTGCTGCTGCTGCGGCTGCTGCTTGGCTGCTGCTTGGCTGCTGCTGCTTGGCTGCTGCTGCTTGGCTGCTGCTGCTTGGCTGCTGCGGCTGCTGCTGCTTGGCTGCTGCTGCTGCTGCTGCTGCTGCTGCTTGGTAGCTGCTGCTGCTGCTGCTTGGCTGCTGCGGCTGCTGCTGCTTGGCTGCTGCTGCTGCTGCTGCTGCTTGGCTGCTGCTGCTGCTGCTGCTTGGTAGCTGCTGCTGCTGCTGCTGCTTGGCTGCTGCTGCTGCTGCTGCTTGGTAGCTGCTGCTGCTGCTGCTGCTGCTTGGTAGCTGCTGCTGCTGCTGCTGCTGTTACTTGTGCTGCTGTTGCTTTGTAGCTGTTGCTTGGTAGCTGCTGCTGCTGCTGCGGCGGTTCTGAGGTGGTTGTGTGTTGCCATGTGTTGGCTGTGTTGGGGTCGTATTGGGGGGTGCTGTTGGCACTCTCCTTTTCCCTTGGCCATGGCATGTTGCGATTCCCGGCCTGGCTTTTGCTGCCTAAAGAGCCCCAGCGTTGTTTATTTGCCTAGCTTTCGCCACCCCCCTCTGGGCCACAAGTTGGCATACTTGGACAAGAATATATTTGTGTCAAAGACCTGCAAAGAGCCTTCTACTCATCTCAGGCCGCTGATGAGTTTACTGGCGGCTGCCCTGTTGGCGGGACGCAGGGATGCTGTTGGTTTTTCAGGTGTTGAAAAGCCTTTGACAACATTCGGCCGCTACTGTATGCGCTAGCTAGGTGGATGGCCACAGACGCCCGTTTCAGAAACTCATCATTGAAACATCACATTTAGAAAAGCTGATGCGATTATGCTTGGAAACAAGACTTCTGTAAAGACTTGTTGCGCAGCAATTGCACTTCTATCGCGTCCTGAGCAGTACAGGCAAAAGACAACGTCGTCACTTTTTTTGAGGTACTGCTACCCTGCCTTGGTGGGAATACTCTGCGGACAGTCATGTTTTTTTTCCCAAACACAAGCTAACTCTGTTGGTTGTGGCAAGGGGTGACTAAGGGACTACTTTGTCAGATTCCTGTATATTATTGGATCATATTAGTACATACATATACATACGCAGTATATATGTCCTGTACTGGACATCGTGTTGCACAGAGTTGCGGCATGGCACTCCGAGTCCCTTTCTCCGACGTTTAGGCCGGCACATTTGACCGTCATTTTGGTCGTGCAGGCTGCTACCCACCGAAGACTCTTGCACCCCATATGCAGGCCTGGTTTTTCATGAAGCGACTGGTGTTAACAGGCAACGAGAAATGACTCTTTATTTTTTCTCGCTTCTTTTCCGTCTGCAAGACGAGCCACGGCCAATGGCCAAAAGTGGCAGCTGACAAGGCTCTCTTCGCCTTGGATCAGCAGGATGCTACCGGCCACAACCACAATCAGCTGCTCGAACTCCTCGGGCCGAAAGGCAAAGTCTGTTGGCCACACTTGGCTGCGCACTCTCTAGACATCCATTGTTGAACTCTGCCATCTTGTTCCTTCGAAGTGCGCTTGCAACGTCGACACTCAAGCCAACTGCCACGCCTCCAAACATCGGGAGGTATGCACCCGTGTCCGCAGCTGCATGCCAAACTCATCCAATTTTCCATATCGACAGGCTGAGGTCGTCAACTGCTCAAGAACTGCCTTGCTGCTTCGAAGTGGAATCTTGCTCCAACAGCGGACACACCCAAAATTGGATGCCCTCATCTCCCATTTGTGGCCAATTTGTTCATCCAGCAAGCCCTCAGTGTCGCTCACAAGGTCGGCCATGACCTGCTTCAAGGTCTTGGTGACTGCTCCAGGACACACAGTGGCCTGTTTGGTGCTGATTTCTTCGTGTGTGCTGCAGGCCTTGATCCTCTTGCCACAGTTCTCACACACTGCACCTTGACGATGGTGCTGCCACTTGTGCTGCCCTTCAACCGGAGTTTGTTGCACCAGCTGGTTCAACAGGTCCACACGCCCCTTCTTGGGTTTGGGCACGTTCACTTTGAATTCATTCTCGACCTTCTCAAGCTGCCCATGCATAAAGTGCTCACGGTCAGCAATGATGGCACTAATGCGGCTCGCAGCAACTTCATAAATCTCCTGGTGCTTCAGGTCAGCCGCCCTCAATTCAGCTTCAAGCGCCAGAGGAGCCTCCTTAGCCGCACGGCTTTTGGCCGCCAGCTTAGCCTCAACATACTGAAGCCATCCTTTTGACTCTTTTCCTTCCTCCTTCAAGAGCTTCAGCGGCACATGCAACACTTGCAATCTCTTCCACTCATTTGCAGGCAGGTTGTACCAAAGGTCAGGTGCTGCCTTGCTCTCCCCTCCTTTCTGCAGAGCTGTCCACCCTGCTCGGTTGGGAATGTTCAGCTGATGCCTGCCAAGTACTGCCTGTAGGAGGAGCCAGCAACCAAAGATCCATCCTCTGGGCTCTGATGCCTGCCCTGGGGCAATCGCTGTACAAGTGCCTGCGATTTGCCAGGATCCCTCTTGCCAACGGTCAGGGCCACGGCACACTGCTTGAGACGGCTGTCATTGCAAGTGGCTTGAACTCCAATGGCCAAACGATGGGAGGGACTCAAGCGGATGGGCCATCCTTTGGCCAGCAGTCCAGTAACCTCACACGAATCAACACCTTCAACCGGCATGAAGTGTGGCTGCTCAATGAGACCCCTTGCCCAAAGCATTGCATCCTCGTTGGCTTGTATGCTGGCTTGCCACTCAGGTGGGAGGTCTTGCTCATGATACTTGCATTGCCACACCAGATGCTTCATCGTGACAGGAACCGCACATAGAGGACACATCACACGGACTCCAGAGTCATGGGTGCGCAAAGAACCCTGCGTCCAGGCATCAAGTGCTGCACGAGCTGGACCTTTGAGTTTCTTGATGACTTTGTGGTACACAGTCCAATCCGGCTGCCGCATGAGCGGAAGCAGTGCTCAAGCTCTTGGATCCTTCTAGCCCTCTGATGCTTCTGCTCATGCTGCAACTTCCTTTGCAGGTACAACCAAGGAAAATCCAGGCTCATCTGATTTGCAGGCATCAACCCTCTCGCCGGCCTGATCCAGTCGTCCAAAACAGAAGCATCCCAGCCCACCTCCATGAGGTATACCTGGGCTGCCATGGGTCCCGCCACAACCATCCACGGGTGTGCAGCTGCCTGCAAACGTCTCCATGACACCCTCCAAGCCGACATGAGCTCACCTCTCTGACTGGCTGGCCATGCTCTGATCATCTGGTGCATGGCTTTAAGCTGACGTTCCACTGCTGTATCCTGGGGATCTTGCAGGTGACTGTGTTGGTCAAAGACAATGTCTGCACTCCCCTTCTTTTGCAGGCCTCCATGTCTGGCTAGCTGCTGCCTCAAAGTCCTCATTCTTTGCGGCGCCACCCCCTGAGCTTCCACACCAAAGCCCACAGCTGAGTGTATGGAGGTTTTCCAGACTGGAATGCGCACGGGCCTCGAACGAAGCTTCAAGTGCACCAACTTGGACTGTCTTCCACTGCCCTTCAACATTCTCTTTTGTTGATTGCCAATGCGGCGGCGCTGCCACCACTTGAATCCAGTCCTAAGTCCTTCAAGAGGTCGTGGGCCCTTGGCTGCTGTTCAGTTCGATGCAGGTTGATGGACCTCTTGGCCTCTGCAGTGGACGTGAGGAACCCAGTCTTGCTGGCTGACAGTTGAAGCCCCACCTTCTCCAGGCCCTGTTTGATCTCATCAAAGCCAGCCAAAGCTTCTTTGCAAACAACATGAGCATCCTCTCCAGCGAAATCCATTGATATGTCATCCACCCAAACATCCACGGAGGCTCTGGGATGCTTGTCCTGGAAGCTCTGTAGGACCGGGGCCAACACAAGTTTGGCAACCAATGGGGCTGCCGGGCAGCCTGCCAACATCCCCCGCTCACAGTGTACTGCCGTGGACGTGACCCCTTCAGCTTGTAACAGACGAGGCCCACTGTACACTTCGTAGATCATGTTCATCCTTGCAGGCGGGAAGTCCAACGGTTCCCATAGGTGCAGCAGTTGTTCAAGCTGGACCGAATCGTAGAAGCACTGCAGGTCGATCAAAAGCGACACCACCTGTCGACCAGTTGCTCGACCAACCTCACACTTCAACAATCTCATAAGTGCCACTTGAAGAACTTGAGTACCAGGTAAACTTCGTTCCCAGGGCAGTCTCTGGCCAATGCTCGTCTGCCAAGATCTGAGCTTGTCCCAACGAAGGCGACACCAGGTGCGGTACATCACGCTGGTCAAGGAGATTGGCCTCTCAATTTCAGCTTTCTTGGGGAGCAGCAGCACCAACGTTGTACAAACCTGATCAGGCAAACGTCCAGCTAGTTCCCACTTCCTCATCATGTGGCACATTTCGATGACCCCTTCAATGGGCATGTTCTTGAGCATGGCGTAGCTGATTCCGTCCGGTCCACAGGCCTTCTGCGGTAGCTTCTGAAGCTTCTTCATGACCACATGAGGGTCCATATATGTCCATATCCTGCCAGCTTCTAGCTTGAACAATGCCTTCATAGCGGAGCCTCTCCCTCTCTCCACTTTGCTTGGGGCTATCAATGACATGCAACTTGCTGTACCATTGTTGCTCCCGCATTGCCTGTCTCTGCTGGATGGGAACATCTCTGAAAGGCCGCACATGAGCACTGTCAGGTGCCTTGAGACACTTGTAGATGCCGCTATGTCCTTTCAGCTTTGCTTGTGACAACCACTGCTGATAATCACTAGCCTGCTGCTCAAGCGCCAGCTTCTTGGCAAACTCCTTGTTGCACTCAGCACCCTTGATGAGGAGGGTGATAGGCGTCGACTCTCCAGCAATCAGCGCTTCAATGCCTGCTTGAAAATCTTCCAAGCCATGTACAGCCTGCCATCTCACATGCAAATCAGCAGTTTTGGCCCGGAGGTGATCCATGTACCAGCTGACATACCCGGCTTGCTTGCTATGTAATGCAGCAGTGAGCTGAACTGTCCCCAATATGCCAAATCCCCTTTCTTCCACGGTGTCATCGGCTTGGACATAGGATGTGGCTTATTTTCGAAAGCCAAGTACCACCAAGGTTGGGATCATGGAGGCGTTGCAGCACAAACTGTTCAGCTTGGTGGCACCACTCCGCATACCGGATCTCTTTCGGTCCAATTGGCCTGCCTAGCCAGAATGGCTTTGGTGCTGGCTGCGAGAAATGACTCTCTCCCTCTCTCTCTCTCTCCCGCTCTCTCTCTCTCTTTGCAATAGAGTAAATTGTGTGGTATATTTTGGTATATATCTGTATATAGAACACTATATAACTCAAGATGTTTAATTTGTTGTGTACCTGCAATAGCAATTCCGATTCTGTAGGTTGCCTCCGTACAAAGTGATTCTGTCTTGGCTTTCGTGACCCTTGCAAATGCGAGGCGTTGCGGAAGCCTTGTGGTAGGCTGCACTGGGCTGGCACTGAAGCAGCTGAAGCGTGACTTGACATTGATACGTCCAGTTGCATGTGAGAGCGGCCAGGAGGGGGGTTTTCAAAAGAAGGGCTTACCAAAGTGCTGGATTGACCACCATTGGAGAATTTGCATGGTTTTTGTCAGTGCACCGCCCTCCTAGGTGTCAAGGTTTCATGGAGGGCGCTATTCAAGCTGCCCAACGCGCAGCAAGAGAGGTTTCCGGGCACTTTTCGTCCCCTGGCTTCCATTATTGAGTCAAGCCACTGGCGGAGTGCAAAAGGAATCAATAAGCAAAACACATCAGAGTTGTAGGTTCATGTCTATTTTATGTCTATGTCTATGTCTGTGTTGTTGTTGTTGTTGATGTTGTTGCTTGTTGCTTGTTGCTTGTTGCTTGTTGCTGTTGTTATTGTTCTTGTTTTTGTCTTCTTGTTATTGTCATTGTTCTTGTATCAATCATGGTCTAAGATTCCTCAAGGTCCCTTCCAGCAGTGTTGGAGTCTAACATATGACATGAAGCTGTTCAGAGGGAAGCTCCGCAGAGGGAACCAGCCGAAGCGATTGATTGACAACTGTTACAGTAACAGCTGTTTGGTCATCAATGTCCACCGACACGTTGAGCTGTCGAGCTTTCGATTGAACCTCATCTGCTGAGCTTGATTCAGGCGACTCTGAAGTGCACGTCATTGCAGCTCTTCCGCCAGCTTTTAAATCTTTGAGCAGGTGACTGTAGACCCCCGGGGGACAAAGATGGGTGACTTGTTGAAAGGGAGATGAACACAGATGGACAACATTTTCTGTGTATCGGATCTTCGCAAGCCACCCAATCCCCCATTCACCTCGTCATTGAATAGCTGTCAAAGGTTTACGTTTGAGCGCAACTTTTGACATTGACATACTTGTAGTTCTCTTTGCTTTGGAAAAGCAGAGTTACATTAGGTCCGCAATTTGCTAGCAGATGATTGGAATTTGCAGGTAGTTTGCAGGTGACACAGTGCACAAAAAGCTGTTTGTTTTGTTGTTGGAGAAGTTGTGCTTACTTTTCAAGAATATGAGTATGTGGTAGCTTGCTATTGCACCTGTGTTTCTTGCGAGATGGCAAGTGGTTTTACCACAACAATGAATCAGTGTCGGAAGTCACCATGTGTAACCCAATGACCATCAATGACCCAATGTTGGTATATATGAGAGCTTGGGCTTACCCGGTAGGAATGACTTGACAGAGTGATCAGCGATCAGCTCTGCTGCTGTGTGTCTTTTGTCCAGCCCAAACAATCTCAAGAGCTTTCTCAACCTGTCCAAGGCTGTGCTTGTGCTGCGGACCAGGCGTGAAAAGCCGCTTTCCCAACTTGGACTATGATGTTGGACAGGACACCTAAAGCCGAACCGGAGGGCTCATCCTAACACCCGGCCCGGAGAGCCAATTTTTTTCCAGAATCTTGGAGCCAAGCACCAACGATGATAACGCTATACCGTAAAGGGGCAAAAAGAGAACGGAGAACATTCGCACCTTGGGGATGGGCAAATACGTTTATGTTTACATCATATAGGTTTGTGAGCAAATCAGATGAATCCGCAAGTATCCAAAGATGTCCAAACAGAGGGTGTGCCTGTGTGCAAAGGGATGCATGTTATACAGAATATTAATGTATATTCAAGAAGATGCATGTGCTGCATTGCATTGCAGGTGAGGAATCAGGGCAAAATAGAGATCATGCGCTTGGATATATTCATAGTATGACCGGCACAGATGAAAACCACCCCACGTATCCCCACATCCCAGCCCCAAGTGCTTGCCGCCCTTGCCCCACTAACTCTACTGTGGCTTGTTACTTATAGATCTGTGGTTTGAGATATTCTTGAACATTCCCCGTCTAGTACTGACTTCTGTTTGAGATGCAGGCAGCATTTACCCTGCGATGAGCTTTGGCACAGGGCTGAGAGGGCGAACTGACCGTGCTGGATTGCCGTATCAGTTCGGGCGAAGGAGTTACTGCAAAGGCGCCGGAAAAGGGCCAAACGCTAAAAACCGAGGAGAGACCCCCGCAACTAACACGGGCAGGCGGCTAAGGGTCTGTCATCATTTAGTTGGTCGCTTCTGAACCTGACCTACCCAGGAGAAGCATTAAAAAATATAACTACATATAATTACAATGTGTGAGCCTTGCACATGAAGAGATCCAGATCCCTCATCTATTTGAACGTTGGATTTTGTGCCGCTCAGCTACCTTTGAAGACAATCCATCACGGGCCAGTTGGGTCGATTCAAATCCGGACTCGAAAGCGGCCCAATCCCGAAGCTGGAACTCGATTCGCAAAAAAGGGTTTGTGTTGTACTTTTATAGCAGTGCGAGCTATGCTTGTTTTTGCGTTCAGGGTCAGTCTTCTACCTACTGGAGCCCACCAATTCATGCGAACACTCATAAAAACGGTTAAACGCGCTTGAAGCACTGCTTTTGAACATTTACCAAAAGTACCCATATACCGGCTCAGTGATTTTGCCAAAGAAAGGAAGATTTGGTTTATAGCACCATAGGCCATAGGTAGCATGGGACTCCAACACTGGTTGTTTTTTGTTTGAACGATGTACGATGCTCTTGTCCAGAACCCAAATGCTGGGATGAGCGTTCAGCCCAGGCTCAGCGTTCTTCTGACATTGGGCCAAGGTCTTCTCTCCAAAGAGGCACGTTCTTTTGATTTCGTCGCGAACGGCTTATTTTATTGTGTGCATGCGATCCGAATGGAAGGCCTAGACAAGACACCTATGCTGCATGCAATATGCTGTACAGTACATATGGCTGTGTGTAGACTCAACCGCTTCACAGATCGACATGGCCTCTCACGTGGGTGGTGCCTTGAGTGGCGCTTTGGTGGCCTATCTTTGGGGACCACGCTATGTTTGGCAAGGGATCCTAGGAGACCGGCTGCAAGTGACATGGACTGGTGGAGATGCAGGGTAAAGCACTCAGGGTATTCAAGAGGAAAAGACAAGGTTTGATAAGATTGGAGCCAGAGGCAGACAGTTTACAGATGCACAAAAGACATGTTCATCCAAGTTGATTGGGTCATTTTGGAGCAAAAAAGATCGACATTGCTGTTGCTAGCAGCTAGAATGTTGCGATGTGACATCAGAACTTTCCCGCCTGGCCAGAGCATTTCAAGCATTTTTGCCTCAGGTCGTGGGGTGGCTTCATGGTGAGAAGTGCAGCCATCATCAACTGGCCCTTTGTTTGAGAAAGAGCCCCTTGCTTCGTTGAAGGAATACGTGTATCCTCACTTGCCATGCGGCAGTACAGAGCATGGGTAGTTGGACAGGCAAATCTACAATTCGCTTGAGCAACCTCTTCTGTGGCTCCTTTGACCAAAGGACTTTTGTAGCTCCAATGATTTAAGGAGTAAGTAAAATTGGAGATTTGCGACCCATGTTAAAGTGATGACACACTTCTGGGGCTCAAGGTCTTGTTGGAACGCCAGTACTGCAATGCCCTGGGTGGAGCTGTAGTCTAGCCAATCTGTTGTCTTCAAACGTCGAGACCGTATCTTCTGTCCTGAAATGCAGCACAGATTTAAGCCCAACAACTCAAACTTCAACCATCAAACAGCCATTGCCAACACCGGCACATGATATGTCTTTAAATCACCATAGCCGAGTTGTATTATACTCGTTGCGGCTGCCACATTAGCTAAATTATGTTGTGATGGTTTTAATTCAGTGCTCTGGATTCTAAGAATCAAGAAGTACGTTGTTCCTGAAGTGGACTCAAGGCATGCTTTTTCGGCCTTTCTCATATGTCTTGAGCTTCTACCCAGCCAGCTTGCTGGCAAAGCTCCTCTGTGCAATGTGCGGGAGAGATGATCCCGTTGACAGGCCTCGGTGGACTGCCATAGTGGCCATGTGCGAGTTGCCACAGTAGCCTCACATTCTACTGGTAAACCGCCAGAAAGCTTTGGGTTTCTTGATTGTTGGTGGTGCAGATCCCATTTGGAAGTTTCATGGTCTGTTTGTCTAAAGGCTGAGATCAGAATTAGAAAGACTCCCTACAATCGCTAGTGCTACACTTGCGGTGAAGGTGGTCGGCAACTCCTTGCAGAGCTGCGCGGCGGCGGGCGTGCACCCAGCGAGGCCATCTTTGCTATTCTCTGAGTAGAGCTGCATCGGTCGTCCAAGTGTCTTTCACCGTGAGTCTTGGGGCCTTTCATAGCTCCTTCATAGCTCTTGTGTGGAGGCCATCGCTAGTAGTAACAAGGGCATCGCTACTAGTAGCAAGGATGCCACTAGTAGCTCCTGGCATTACTACTAGTAGCAAGAAGCTACTAGGTTGGAGGCCATCGCTCTTGTGTGTAGAGTTCAATGACCTTTTCATACCTTTAACCTGAGCCCGTGCAGCTACTCCGCGCAGGCCACATCCAACACGACAAATTTTGGGTGTTCTTTTGAAGCTGACATGGCAGAATCGGCTTTTCCATGGGACCGAAGGTGGCCAAAGATTTGCTGCAGCCTGGCGTGGTCACAAACGCCAAGGCCAGAATGCACAGCAGGTGGTTGAACGTGACATATGGTGACATCCTCTTCATGCGTTTCTTTCGCAGAAACGATGTTCTGATGTAATCTGTGTTCTGGAATGGAAATCATTGTTGTCTCATTTTAATCGGCTCATGCTTCGTGGGTTGCGCATATTCACTATGTTTGAGGATGGGACTGCGGTGCTCAAAGCGTTCAGCACCAGCAGTTTGTGGCAAGAGGCCTTTAGAACGTTCACCCGAACTTGTCATGGTCGTGTGATGGAAGTGTCAAAGTGAATTGGTGTGGGTTGGTTCCCTGGGTTTCCTAAAGAGGCTCCTTTGTCCAAGCCATGAAAGAACCAGAATAGCACCAGCATGCGGAATTTCAAGAGCACTGTGGCATGATCATCAAGGGAAGAGAAAGCAGCTATGTCATGTATGCTGTAATGTGTTTGTCTATATATATACTGTGTATATATATATAATATATATACACATCGCATATATATATATACATGTATAAAGTAACTAAGTAAATTGACAGTACTTTGTCACTTCAGCTCCAAGCTTTGGATTACCGACGACATTCTCTCTATCTTCCCAGCAGCTGGTGTGAAGCTTGATCCCAACAGCTGTGTGTCAACCTGGCCAATAAAACTGCACGTGTTGCTCGCAATAGTTTTTTCAATGCTTGCCATGCCGGCATCAGCCAGGCATTGTCTTTACTAGACAGCCTGTTGCACCGAGGATGGGCTTGCACTGTCCGCAGTTGTTATCGGGGTTCTGATATAGATAGGACAAAAGCACTGACATGAATCGCCTTAGCACAAGTGAGCTGGAGACTGAGACTCGCTGACACAGGGGACTAGATGCCGAGCAGTGACCTGCACAAGCAAAAAACTAGATTAGACAAAGGCAGAAAGGGAACTTCCTGAGATGTTTTCCTCTCCCAGGAGCGGCAGACATCATCCTTTGCAATGCTGCAATGGCGACCTGCGGAAAGGCACCACACTCATCAACAGGGAAGTGGCAATAATGTCCATGAAACATATGCTGTATATTGTACTGCACATATCATTGCATGTAATGTGTGTATATATATATAGGTATATCTAGAGAGGGAGTGAGAGGGAATTTATTGCACGCTTTGTTACAATGAGCCTGTACTCCTT